ACTCATTCTAGTAAGCATAATTGGATTGACCAAGTTTCTTATATTTTGGATATGATCTTTTCTGAGTTTGATGAAAAGATGAGTTCTTAATCCACATCTCATGGATGTAATAGAGTATTTTATGGCAACTTTGGTTATGCTTTCTTTTCAGGATAGTTATCCTTTGAAGAAAGAAGTGCGTTTTTTAATGATCAGTCTATGATTTAGTTATAATTATACTTTTTATTTGTTTTAAGAATTTCAACTAATACTAATAATATACTAATATATACAATAAAACTTCATACACAAATATTGCATTTAATTAGGCTGTAGAGAAAAAGGGAAAACAGTCGAAGAGATAACAAAAATGTTTAAATTTAATAGACAAACAGTTACTAATATCTGCAAACAGAATATTGAAAGAGGAATGATTTTACCAAAAAAGGGAAAAGGTCGTGAATGATTCATTGCCGAAGAAGAAAATCAACATTTAAAGCAACGTTGCGAAGATCTTTAATACTTCGTCCAAAAGCAGGCGTTGTCAATTACCATTCTCATTTTGTCTGGCATGCTATTTACCAGCTTTTGTCAAATGTTTGTGCTGCTAAATCTTTCCCATCTCTGACAAAGGGCTTCCCGGAGTTTGTTCGGTGTGGAAGCATTAAATGGCTCCCTTGCTATCTCCTCCCACAGATGTTCAATTGGGTTTAGATCAGCTCCCCTTCCTGGCCAGTTTAAGATGTCGATGTTGTTTTGACGTTCCAGCCAGTTTCTGGTCAATCTGGCTGTGTGAATTGGAGAGAGATCTTGGACGAACGGGACCTTTATGGAAGGGTCCAACTTTTAGAGAGAACCCTTGGTCATTAGTGTTTACCCCTTGGGGTAAACACTAATGATATATAATGGACTTGGCTGCTGCATGATAGCGACACAGATATTTTCTGAGCTGATTTGAGGAATGAGGGCTATGTCCAGATCTCTGGGTTACAGACTATAATACCGCATTTCGGCCTATAGGTGGAGTGGCCTGCAAGGACCTGCCAATTACCAAATCGGACGATCTTATTGTCTATCGTGTACAGCTCTTGGATGATTATAATATCACTTTCTATTTTGCTTGCCGTCTTTATCAATAGCGAACATGCAGCTTTGCTGTTTTGGGCGTTTAGCTGGAGGATCTTGATTGTTGTCGTATGGCTGGTGCATGTTGTATTGTTGTTGACCTGGTTGCTGTCTGTTTGGGTTTCCTGAGTAACATTCTCTTGATGGTTATAGGCCATAATCGGTTCTGTTTATGTTTTGTTGCTTCAGCCGTTGTAGTATTGGGCAGTTGTTACTGAAAGCGTTGTGATTTACCGGTCTTTGTTTGTTTTCAGGTAAGCTTTCGTTTGCTTTTTTACAGTTAACACATACTGGATTTTTCTGCCGTCTGTTACAATCTTTGTAGCCATGATCCTTCGTGCAGTGGCTACATTTTTTATCACTTGTGCAGTCCTGTGCATAATGGTCAAATCCACAGCACTGGTAGCACCGGACAATCGGTATGAAGTCATCGACGTAGATCGTAAACCACGACATGGATATATGTCTGTGGTGGATAAGTATGTTACGGATGGCTGGCGTGACTGACAGAACAACGTTTCGGCAGTTCTCTTTGACTCTGCCGTTTTTCAAAATTGTGCTTATTTTACACTCTGTTCTTACTTCGTCCGTCGGCTTGTTTCCCCAAATATTATTTTGTTCTGCCATAACTCTGATGATGTCTTCTTCTGTTATGGCGTTGGGAACGTTCAGTAGTATAACCCTGGGCTTTCTGCCCTCAGATATCTTGCAGTTGATTTTCGATTGTATGTTCGATATAGCGTTGATGGCTTCTTTTAATACTTTACTGTCTTTCTCACTTCCGACCCTAACACACACTCCGTCTGCCTTGACCCTGCGAACAGCCTTAACCGTTATCTTTAGCTTGTGAGGTTTGATTTCTTTGATTATTTCAGATGTAACCTCGTTCATATCGATTTTCTCACCTTCCTCTACGACTTGTGGGTACAGGAGGACGGCGTGGGTCCCTCCAGTGCCCTCAGACTGCACCTTCGTGCAAATCGAGTCCGATATGGTTCTCGTTGTGTGACTAGGTCTGATGCCAGGTCCGAAGTCGACGTTAGCGCTGGCCACCTGTGCGTAAGATTTCCTCGTTGAGGGTGATTTCTGGACTGGGATCTGTGCAGGAGTGGCCTCTAGTTTGGTCCTCATTTCGCGCAGAATCCCGAACATCTGTATAACGCAACTGTGCAGTTGTAATGCACTGTTCTTTACCTCCTTACGTTCTTCTGTGTTCAGTGAAGGTTTATACTTGGTAGGGGGAAGGAGATCCATAACCTTCTTTAAATGCAGGCTGGCTTCCCCCAAAATCTTGTCTTCAAGATTTTGTATACTGACCGAAGGACATTGTGTGGCTGGTACTGATGGTGTAGATGGTACTGTTAGTTGTTCCACATCCTCAGGCGGTACTGGAGATTCCATTGTGAGCGAGAAGCGAAGTCGAAACGTTCCTTACCAATATATATACCACAATAGCCGTTCGGCTCGAACACGCCGATCGGCTTAATGTAAGTAACTTTAACACAACAAGGATTTAGGCCTCGGGCAGCGATGGGCCCTTAACAAATACAGCAATAAGCACGTGAAACAGTTAAGTAAACGCGGAAACAATTTGTTCCGAAAAAACTACAGAACGCCAATCGGCTAAACGCCTAGCCGTTAACCCGCCGATCCGAATGAGCTCGCACTATCCCGGTGGGTAGAAAAGGCTAAGATAAAGCTTCCACCAAAAGCGGAACCGGAAAAGCAGTTACCCGCTACCCCCGAGACCTACGCCGAACGGTTATAACCACACCGATCGGCTAACAACCACGTGGCGGAGTGGCTCTTTGTTAACGGTAAAATTTTTTATCGTTAATAACTCAATAACCGTAAGAGCTAACCGAACGAAATTTATACACGTCTTAGATTGAAGTATTATCTGACTAAAACCGTCGTTAAACTTAATCGATGGTATTTATGGGGCCCTAAGGAGCCCGAAAAATCGAAAATTATGGACGCTCGTAACTTTAGAACTACCGATCGGAAAACCAAAATGTTTAAACTTACGGAATCCTTATTACTTGCGTTATCCAACGGTATATACCTTTTATCTGTCGACGCAAAATATCCTGAGATTTGGCGATCGAAATACGGAGCACACTAACTAGCACCCATTCCCATACAGGATTCGGCCAGGGTCCACCAGGGGTGTATAGTATACCTGTGACAAATGACAGATTTCATAGAGATCTGGTGTACTGTACATTGGTTCAACCAAGAGATCCCTTAAAAAACTGCTGGCAGAACATAAATATGATATACAAAACAAAAAGCATTACCAATATACGCTTCTGACACTGACATAGAATCTAAACTACAGCAAGCCAGTCTCATTAGATGCACCCTTCACACTGATCAAATCAAAATTTTAGAAGCTCTTGAAATTTTTAAAGCTGAACTAAAGGGGGAATGTATCAATTTTAAGAAGGAGGCAAATATCTCACATGCTTGGCAATCCTTTTTCGATGATCCCAACAACATTAATAAAAAAATAAAAAAGATCAATTAATTCACTTAAGATTTATAAAAAATGTATTCATTAATTTTTCTGTTAACTTTTATTTCAATTTTAACGTTAATGTTAGCATCTAGGTGTGATTTTTGTTGTATATTTGTTCTAATATTTACAGTTTTGATGATTTTAAAATACTTAAATGCAAACGTTTAGCATTCTAATTCTATCAAACATTTTTCACCTGACTCAGATCCTATTGGGATCAAAAACTTTTGTCATAATGTATTTATATTAAATTATATTTGCTGTATATTTTGAAGGTTTTGTTGGTGTTATTTAATAGTGTATAACCAGCTTTGGGAAGATTCAGGACTTGTTCTTGTGGCCTATCATTTAATTTGATTTCCTGTATAAGCTAAACCTTATACACATACAAATGTAACCACTTTTGGAGAATTAATGCACATTTACACTTGCCTTTTATGCAGTTTCTGTGAAATTCAATAGATTGGTTTCTGTGAACTTAAAAGAAACATTTAGTGGACATTCTTTATTTGCTGATCAGAGACATATTAACATCTCTGTCCATATTAACATATTAACATTTCACACACTTCTAGTGAGTGGCGTACCCAGGATCTGAACTAGAGGGGGGGGCAACTCATATTAGTTTCAAGGAAATGGGGAGAGAGAGTGAGATTTTACTACAGATGGCTTTAGTCTAGTCACAATATTCATTATTCAAACTGATATTAAATTGATATGCCTGTGCTGTGCGTCAGTTACTACACTTTAATTTTTCTTCTAGTGAGGGGCAGGGAGGGACAGCTGCCCCTCCCTGCCCCTCACTGGGTATGCTCTTGCTACTAGTTACCAGAAATTTTTTGTGCCACACTTTTATTCTCTTGATATCTAGTATTGCCTTCTAATAAATATGATAAAATCATTGTTGCATCATTACAATGCACTTGGAAAAACCACTACTTGTACCTTCTCTTACATTGTCATCTTTACTTAAAGAGATGATAGTGTCCCAACAATAACTGCTGTAGAGATCGTAAATAGTAAGGTTGAAAGTTCCTGTAATAAAACAATGACACAGATATAGAGTTCACAAATCAAGATTTGTGAACTCTATACCTGTCAATTCATAAATATTCATTGAAATCTAAGAATTTTATTTTAAGCTTTTGTGTTTAATTAATATTAGCATTTATATGAAATCATGTTTATATAACTAAGTAGAATTATCATATTTAGTTCATGTTGTTTATGCAGAATTTTCATGTTTAATATTTTTATGTCTTTGATAATTCTTCTGTATAACTAAATAAATAAAGAATAAATTTTTTATAGTATATTTGATTTCTTTTTTTAAATTTTTGATAAAATATAATAAAATTGTATTCTAAATATTTAGATATTGGAAGTGAAATGTTCGAGACTGAATTAGTTGTTCAAGCTCTAAGAATAAATACTATATCAAAATTAAGTTTTGTGGATGCAAAACATTTTGATGAATTAGTTCTTGATGTATTTCCAAATGTTAAATTAAAAAATTTAGAATATGAAACATTATATAAAACAGTTAAAGAAGTCTGCACTGAAATGAAAATGATGATTATTGAGAATCAGGTAAATTTTGAACTTTTAATGTTGTTTCCATAAAATTATAGAAATTTATTGGAAGATTTTTAAGTAGAAATTTATTAAACACTTTTTAACATAAGCATTTTTAAAAAGTATTAAAAATAAGATATACTTAAATATTTACATTTTGTTTTAAATCATGCAGCAAAATAGAAATAATCAAAGCTAAATTTTAAAAAAATTCTGTAGGAAAGACTAAAATGTCTTCAATTTTGTCATGTCATGTCATGGGAATTGATTTTTAAAAATTTTTTTAATGTGTAAATTTGTCAGCCATTTTTAAAAAAAGAAATTATGTATTTTTTTAATTGTTATCACTTGTAAACTTTTTAGACTGTTTTGCATGTTTTTGTAGAGGTATAGCCTCTAAGGCAAGGGTCACCAAATTTTTTTGATTGTTGACCCCCTACAAGTTTTCAAAACCTCACATCAACCCCCACCTAAAAGTTTATGTTACAAGCAAAACAAAATACTTACTATTTTAATACATTTCTTTTAATTTTGCATTTTTTTTCATTTATTACATACAGTAGAACCTCCATTATCCGGATTTTCGATTATCCGGATTGTTCAAAATAAACAAAAATTTTACTAATTTGCTGATTTGCGCTTGGCGAATTACGACACTGTTTATGTACGTGATGGAATGCATAACTCTGTTTGTTTCAACAACGTCTCATCCAGCACAGTTGGTCGTAAACTCTTAAATATATTTTACGTCGTAATAAAAATATAACTTGACATACGTATTTATAAATAATTTATATTCAAATTACATCATTTCTATGACCAAGGGCGGCGTAAGGCATGGACGACGTGGGCCACCGCCTATGCCTCGTGGTCCGAAGGGCCTCGCGCCTCGAAGGTTTATGCATTACTTAAAAGCCGTGAACTCGACGAAAAAATTTTACTCGTCATAAAATGATAAATAGTTTGTCAAATTTTTATTCACAAAAATGCAGTTTCAACTGCTTTTTATTTTATAAAATCCGTCTTCTTGTGCCACCAGAGGGCCTTTTAAACAATAGGTAGTCTGTTAGCGTTGGTTAGTAGTAGTCCAAATTCAATACGAACGTTTGTTTTTTGTTACTTTTAATATTACCGATATGTCATCGAAAAGAAAACGTGTTGTATTATTATTAAAAGACAAATTAAAGTATTTGTTTCGATTATCCGGATTTTTCCTTATCCGGACTACCTTCATCCCCAATTAGTCCGGAGGTTCTACTGTATTTGTTAATATAATTTTTGTAACTGACAATCAGTGAGATGGATAAGCTTGATCCTTAGCTCCCTCTTATCCTTAGCTTAAGCTTGATAATCGATCCCCAATAATGTTATATTGACCCCTGGAGGTCGATATCGATCACTTTGGCAACCCCTGCTCTAAGGAAAGGTTGTCTCTGCAATGGAAGGCTGTTGTTCCTGGTGATTTGACATGATGAAAATGAAGACATTTTAGTCTTTTCTACAGAATTTTTTTTAATGTGTAAATTTGTCAGCCATTTTTTTCAAATCAATGCTACATTTGATTTGTTTGATCAGTTAAAAATTGTATACAAAAATTTATTTAGTTCTTAATTAGTTATACTACAGTATCTGAATTCCTGCTGCAATGAATGATGTTTTTTAACACTTATTAGTCAAAAATGCTTGTTCTCTAAAAGTACTTGCTAAATTATAAGATTTTTGTGGTTTAATTTATATTCATCCTGTTAGAGATTATTAGTTTAGATATTTTTTTAATTAAATGTTTACTTTAATAGTTTTGAATGGATTTTTTTTTTTTTAATATGTTTAGTTGATGTTAAGATACTCAAAATTATACAGAATATTAATATTGTATATAAATTATATTAATATCTGTTACTTTTCAAAATAAATAAATTTAATCTTAAAATTAAATTATTAAAATTTAAATAAAAATTTGTCCTATTTGAATAATTATGATGCAAGATTTTTATTCAAAGTACCATAAATGTAACAAAGATATATTTACTTTCTGAGAGGACAGAACAGAGGGTGATTCATATTGTCAAAACAAATTCATTTTTTTAGAAATGGATCTTTTAAGTTGAGTTGCTTTAGGTTTCTGCCTCTCATTTCTGTTAACACATGATTAAAACATAAATGAAAGATCTCTATCTTTCCAATCTTTTCAAAGATATTTTATAAAGAAGATATAAAAAATTAAATAAAGAGAAAGAAAAAAGAGAATAAGAAGATATGAGCTGAACTGAAACACAACTAGAGAAAGAATAATGATTCAAAAAGTTAAACAAAAAGATTAGAACATTGAGCATAAATATAAATGGAAAGAAACTTATGATGATTAAAAAAAACCAATAAGATAATTCTTCAGTGAATTGAAAGTAAATTATTAAAGATAAATAGTTGATCTATCTATTTACTATGAAAGTGAGAATGAATACTTGTCATTCTTTTTCTTTTTCCCAAATCAGAAAATATAATTGTGAATCTATTTTAATCCTGGAATCTATTTGAATTAAGTAAAATAATTTCAAAATTAACTGTGAAAGCAAAAATTATTCATTTTATTGATAAACATGATGTATAATATTATATTTTATTCACATTTTATATTTTTTTCTTTATGAAAATTTTTAAATAAAATTTTTAGTCAAAAATTGCATTAGTACATTTGCATACTTCTTTACAAAATTTATTGAGAATTTAATCAAATACAAAATATAAAGTCAAATTTTAAATTTGGCTTGAACCTGATTTTTTCATGACATATATATAATATATATATATAAATTATTTAATATGAAAATCATATAACTAAACTAATGATGGGACAACAGTCCATATTTTACAAAATTGTAAAAAAATACAATTGCATTTGTTACAAGTCATCAAAATTAAGCAATAAGAAATAGAGTAAATTGAATGCAATCCTTTTCTCTTTTAATAGCAAATTTGATATATTTTGTATTTTTATTTTGTTTTTAAATTTAACTCTATAAATAAAAAGTTATTAAGCATTGAAGAATTTTGTGTGTAGTTCTGAATATTATATTTCCAATTAATAACATTTTATCATTTATGAGTATTCAGTTTATTAATTATATGATTGTTTTTATACATTTCTCAATAGGTGAAAAAAGTAATGGAATTATATGAACAGTTACAACAAAGAATAGGAGTTGTTATTGTTGGTTTGAGTGGTTCTGGAAAATCAACATTATGGAAATTATTAAAACATGCACTAAATAAAATGGGGAAAAATGTTAAACATTATCTAATGAACCCCAAGGCAATTTCTCGGATTCAGGTACTGTATTAAATATTACATATATATGATTAGTATTGAATTTCATAATATTAGTTGTTAAAAATAGTTGAAAATTAAGAATTAAAAACATCATTTAGAATAACTTTACAGAGATTAATATAGGCATATTATTCTTAATAATATAATTGCAATATTTTCATTAATTAAGTTTTATATAAATGTTATTTTTTAATTAAAATTAATGTACAGTAATTTTGACTAGCAAATATTAATACATTAGAGAAATTATATTAATTATTAATATAAATTATTTCTATCTTGTTAATGTTATTAAAATTTGCTAAAATATGATAGTATGAACTGAATATGTTAACACTTTCACTATTGATTGATGTGATTTTGCATTATTCAGACATTTAAACATACTCAGTTTTTACACTGAGTATGTTTGCATTTCAAAGTAGTGGCCATTTTATTGTTCCATCCTGTCTAAGACAGAAAATTTGCTTATGCTGGAAAGTCCACTGAATCCCTTTCAGTTCCAGCTTTTACACATTTTTTACTGTATATCATCCTGTACCTAGCAAAATGACTTTTGTTTAAACATTTATAATTTATGACACTTTGTAAACCTTTGTTTGTTATGTGTTAAAAATGTTAATTATTGAGAATGTAATTTACTTTTTTTATTCATTTTAATGTTTTTGTATTTTGTTTTGTATTCATCATTTTGTTTATAAAATCTCTTATTAACTATCAGTCAGTGAATCACACATTACAGATATGTCATTGAAAATCTTTAATAGAGTTTTTCTTAAATTTAGTGAAGAGGTTACTTACTATAATTATGAAATTATTCTCTTTAACTTGTTTTTAACAATATAATATGACTGCAGGTTTACAATACATAAATCTTAAGCAGCCTACTGTTCTGGGGGACCTGGGATAGAATCCAGATAGGTTGAAAAATCTTCAGGAATGCCTGGATATGTTGGACCCCATCCCTTACCACCTGGCCACTCCATTGTGGACCTGGCTGAACCCATAATAGGCTTGCTAAAAGAGGTCCTCTTAGTGCATAAGGGCAGAAAGAGCTTTATATATATATATATATAANCACTACAAAATTCCGATGCCGAGGGACAAGGCTAACGCAATCTAAAAAAATCATGTAATCTATAATTTTTATAATTTCCAAACTACAAGAGGACATTTTTACAATTTAAATATTTTTTAATATTTATATATTCTGAATCAAAATAAAAATTAATGCTAGTACGTAATACAGTGGCTGATTGGTTAACAAACATAATCCATTCAAAGACGATGTTCACTACCTGAATTGTTTATTAATAGTAAGCTGACTTTTTAGGAGAAATCAGTTAATTTTGTGTCAGTGATGGTCTAGGGTCCTTTTGTATGTGGGTAGTGGTGGCAGAGACAAAGATGACAAGTATCTTACAAAAACCATTTATTTTAACATGAAATAAACTTACACCAGAAAAAAAATAGTTTTCCTTAAAACAATTGGTTGTTCTGACATCATAGGCATCAATGTTGTTTCTTGTTTGTCAATCAAAGGTGGCCCCAGGGCAAAGGCAGGTGGGGAGACTCCATTGATTGGTGTTGGCGACACTGTCTGTGTCTGTAGTGGCACAGGCTACTGGTTGGGCACAATAGACGGAAAACTGCATTTTGCACATTGACTAACCGTGTGCAGGTGCACAGTTTACAGAAAGTGAGTCTGTCCTTGAAGATCAGGGATTATATCAATCTTCATTCTTTCTTTTGTCCATTCTGATTGGCTCCACATCTCTTTTTCTCACTTCTCAATTGGTCCCTTGTCCCCAGTGGCGTGGTGTGGGTGTCAGCCGCCCAGGGCAAAAGAAAATTTCGCCACCCCCTTATTTAGGTATCTCAATTTAAAAAACTAAAATTCAGTTTCGTCACAGAATAAGTAATGAAAAATTCCATGCTAGTGTTGCCACCTTTTTAAAATCACTGACCTGGAAGGCAGGTGAGGTTTGTTCAAACAGAAGTTCCTGACGCATGCATATGTCATTTTGCAATGCGAAGAATAATGTGCAGTGCATGCCGGTTCAGTTAGTGATTAGGGAGAATTGGGTAGGAGTAACGTAAGTAACCTAGATGACTTTTGTGCATGAAATCCCGGACTGTCCGGATGATGACATTTTTCATGCTCATTTCAATGGTCCGAATTGTAGGTGCGACAAAAATATGTGATGAAATGGTTCAAGTTTATACAAAATATTATTATTATTTATTGTGAAATTTTGCCGCCCCCACTATGCTATGCAACTGCTTGTCTGTAAGTGAAAGACAAGACCTGTTTGGGTCACGAGAAAGATCCGCTTCGGAGAATCTACCTGACACTATTCGTTAACTCTGGATGGAAGGTGCTGATGGAACTTTGAAATCTGCATTCATATTTTTCCTCATTATTGTCTAGTCTATGACGTTTTAGAATTTTAATGACCTGACATGATGTCTCTTTTTATCATTAACCTTTCCTCTCTTCAAAATTTTTCTATGTTCTAATTGCTTGTATACAAGCAATTAGTCAAAGATCCATCTCTTCTGGTCGACGTTTGTCTACATTGATTGCAATGCATTTTACAATAATGTTTTTTTTTTCTCATCTTCATTTCATATGACTTGCACAACTAATCTGACCTTCGATCAGCTTTAACAATGGAAGTTTTTCTAGTTTCGTTTTAATAAAATTTTATAACAACTTTTAATTTCAACCTGTTTTTGGAACTTCACATTAATCAATTATCAATTTACCGTAGATTTTTATGGGAATTTGATTAATTCGTTCTGCAGACCCTGAAAAATAAATAAAAATTTTTTAAATTTCTTACTATGTTTATTTACATGTAATAACAAATTAAAAGCAATCTCTACATTTTTGTCATGGATGGCACATCTTTGTTTCTCAGATGTGATTTTCGTTACTCCTTTATCTACTTAAGTCTTTTTGATTATATCTTTCTTAGCTAAGATTGTATTGGGTTGAACCAAAAGTTCATTCGGTTTTTAGAAAGAAATAAAATATACTATTTTGAAATAAATAAAAACGTTTAATCCACAATGTATTCACCCTTCTGTTCAATAACCTTACGCCATCTGACGGGTAGTTTCATAATTGCATCTGTGTAGAATTGGGTGGGTTTTTGATTGAAAAAATTATCAATGTGATTTTTGAATAATTTAAATGGCATAGAATTTCAATCTCTAGAGATTGAAATTCTATGCCATTTAAATTATTCTGCAATAAACGAAAAAGATGATAGTCTGAGGGAGCAATATCTGAAGAATATGCAGGGTGACTCAAAACATCCCAGTTAAAGTCTAGAAGTTTTTGGCGCTTGTTTAACAATATGTGCGGTCTTGCATTATGACGGAATACCACTCCCCGTCGATTTGCAAGTTCTGGACGTTTTTTGATGCACTGCAGCCTTTAGTTCAGTGTTTCTCAACCTCTAACGAATCGTCGTCCCCTTCAACGTAATATCGCCCCCCCAATAAAACTGTTACGTAGTATCGCCCCCTTCACTACAAAATTCCGATGCCGAGGGACAAGGCTAACGCCAAATTTGTACTGCATCGAATAGACTGGTGACTATATAATGTTATTTGTTTAATTATTGTACGATATAACGAATAAAATATCTAATCATTCTTAACATAATGTTTTACTATGTCGCGCAGAAAATAGTTTTTTCGCCCCCAAAATATAAATTGTTACTAATTCCCCCTGAACATGGAAAAACGCCCACATGGGGGCGATATCGCCCCCCGTTGAGAAACAGTGCTTTAGTTCATCCAGTTGGAGACAATATTTATTGGAATTAATTGTTTGGTTGTTGGATAAAAGATCGTAATAAAGAACTCCTTTTCAGTTCCAACAAACTGAAATCATTACTTTTCTGGGATGCAAACCACCTTTAGGTTGTGGCACCGGAGGATCACCTGGCTTACTCCAAGATCTCTTGCGTTGAATATTGTTGTAAACGATCCATTTTTTATCACCTGTTATTAATTGCTTTAAAAAGGGATCATCTTCATTGTGTTTTAAAAGTGAATCACGTACAGAAACATGCTCAATAAGGTTTTGTTCACTTAACTTATGGGGAATCCAAACATCATAACGGGAAGTGTATCCAAGGCTAGCCAAATGTCTGACAACAGATGTTTGGGATATTTTTAAGATGTTGGCTATCTCTCATGTTGTTTTATGCCAATCATTTTGAATTAAAGCTGTTACAGACTCATCTTCTATGGTTGAAGGTCGTCCTGACCGAGGTGCATCTTCAAGAGAAAAATCTCCCTCTTTGAATTTTGAAAACCATTTCTGGCATGTTCGATCAGTAACTGCATCCTCCCCATATACAGAACATATTTTTTTTTTTTTGAGTTTTTGTTGCATTTTTTCCTTTTCGGAAATAATAGAGCATTAGATGTCAAAAATGCACCTTCTTATCTTCCATTTTAATGTTTTTTTTTTTCTTAAAAGTTAACAAAATTTTAAAAAATAGCTGTAATTAAACTTATGTAATAAATATGCAGATATTCGTAATGTCACCTAAACAAGTTAAAACTTGATAAACACAACAGAGGTGCCACAGACGAGCGATTATGTAAATACCCGAACAAACTTTTGGTTCAACGAAATATATACTGTAGACCTGTTGAAACCATACTGCATAGGAATATCAGACATTTTCTGCCCACTCTCTACCTTCGCTATTATCTCCTTCTTAGTTTATCTAGTGAACACAGTTCTTGACACTCCACTCTTTTAGGCTTCATAATATTATCAGTTTTTTAAAATAAAAAGTTCAGAAAAACACTTACAAAAATTCAGAGAACAGAAATCAACTAATGTAAAAAAGGTTATGTATACAACTGTGAAAATCTTGTTCCATAAACCATTCATAGATTCCAGTAAAATAGTCTTACAAATCTTAAACACTGCTTTGCTTCTTCATGTGTTTGTTCTGTGAGGTGTTTGTTGTCCGAACATAAAAATTTTTTGTGAAAGTGTTCATTGTCCAATTTGTTCGCAGTCTGAACTGTTTGTTAATCGATCACCCACTGTATTTAATATATTTATGATATTGGAAGGAAGTTGTCTTATGTATTGTCTTTATCTTTTTAAATTACAAATTAACTATTAAATATCTGAGTAATTCAGATAATTTGGTACTAGAGATAAGCATCAGATCAATCTGTGAAACTAAATTGTCCCAATTATTGATAACAAACAATTTATATTCCATTAAAGTTCAAAAAAGGAATAATTTTTTTAAAATAGATTTGTTTACTCTGAGAATTTATATGTGGCATTTCTTTTCAAAGATTTTTAAAGTGATTAACAAATTTAATGTTAATTTCAGTTATTAGGTTTTATTGATGTTGATACAAGAGAATGGCATGATGGTGTTCTTACAACTAGTGCAAGAGAAGTTGTGCGAGAATCTCAAGGTAAAAATGAGATCTTTATCAAGATTTAATTTAAAATTTATTTGAAATTTGTAATCAAACAGACTATTTTATGATTTAAAAATGAGGTGTTTAGAATTTATATCTGAATTTTTAATGCTTTTTTTATTATAGGTTTGTAGCCTCATTGAAACAATGAAATAATGCATTTAAAAATTACTAATTAAAAATATTTGCAATTTTTATGTTTTTGCACTTCTAATCAATTGATTATTTATTTTACAAAAAATTTATTTTTTACAAACAACAGAAAAAAACATTTGTGTATGACATGAATGTTTTTTCTATTTTTGCCTGAATATTCATATTGTTTTTACAGACAATTAATAAATATTTGATTTTATATTTTCTTATAAGTATTTTTTAATACATATCTAATAAAATATAAAAATGAATTTAATATGATGTGCATGGGCATAGCCAGGAAGGGGCATGGGTGGGCATGACCCCCCAGTTAACTTGGTGCCCTACCCAGAAAATCACAGCTGAAAAAGTGTTGAGCCGATTTGCAAAAAGAAATAAAAAGTTGAAGTTAATTTAATTGGGTATAGTGTACCGTGGCCTGCAATTAATCTCTGAATATTGGACTGAACTTGAAATAATTGGTTGAATGGATCTGCGATAATTCTCTACAACATGACAATGTGAAGTTGTAGGAAAGTTGAGAAATTCTCATCTTAAAAAAAGAAGAAGAAAAAAAAAGTCAATGGCTTTCTGTGCTCAATGTGAAAAGTGTATCTGTAATCTCTATGTACAGTTTAGTCTCTACGGAGTGATGCCACAATAAGATCTTGCATCACCTGAAAATCTTGCTAGGGCCGCCTCTGGTTCGGGCAGTGAAGAAAGTTTTCTTTCCAATTTGGCCCGGAGGAAAAAACTGTTGGCCACCCCTGGTCTATATCTAGATTAAAGACGGTGAACTATATTAAAGAATGGTAAAAAAAAATAATTGATTGGTTAATTTTTGTTTAAGGCATTGCTAGAGTTTGATATTAATGTTACGAGAATGTATGATTAAAGGAAGTTTCATATTTTATGTGTGTTAAGTTATTGCTGATTCTTATGGAAATTTCATTTTAATGAACAATAATTTGAAATACAGTAGAACCTCGATTATCCGGACTAATTGGGGATGAAGGTAGTCTGGATAAGGAAAAATTCGGAAAATCGAAACAAATACTTTAATTTGTCTTTTAATGATAATACAACACGTTTTCTTTTTGATGACATATCAGTAATAATCAAAATAAATACTGTATTTAAATCGTAATCAAATTTCAAGAAACAAATGTTTGTATTGAATTTGGACTACTACTGACCAGCGCTAACAGACTACCTATTGTTTATAAGACCCTCTGGTGGCGCAAGAAGACGGATTTTATAAAATAAAAAGCAGTTGAAACTGCATTTTTATCAATAAAAATTTGACAAATTATTTATCGTTTTATGACAAGTAAAACTTTATTATCGTGTTTGCGGCTTTTAAGTAATGCATAAACCTTCGAGGCGCTAGGCCCTTCGGACCGCAAGGCATAGCTGGTGGCCCATGTTGCCCATAAGCCTCCCTTGGTCATAGAAATGATGTAATTTGAATATAAATTATTTATAAATACGTATGTCAAGTTATATTTTTATTACTACGTAAAATATATTTAAGAGTTTACGACCACTGGGTGAGACGTTGAAACAAAAAAAGTTATGCATTCCATCACGTACATAAACAGTGTCGTAATTTGCCAAGTGCAAATCAGCAAATTCGTAAAATTTTTGTTTATTTTGAACAATCCAGATAATCGAAAATCTGGATAATAGAGGTTCTACTGTAATTCAATTTTGTGTCAGGTTGGCCTCTACTAGGCCCCTCGTAACAAAACTCTGGCTATGCCCATGATGATGATGTAATTTAAAAAAAAAGAGAGAAAGAAATTTACAAGAATGATTTTGTTATAGAAATTAATTTTATTAGATAACACTACTTAGTAATGCCATGTGAAGAATATTAGTAATATTTTTGTTATAAGACATTTATAATAATTTGAGAAATAGTAATAAAGGATGTCCAGAATAAGACTGACACATTTTCAATCATTTTCAAAATTCATTGCATAAAGATAAATATATTTAATCCATAGCATGAGGAAGAGCAACTGTGTAAGTTTCTTTAGAATTATTTGATGCATGGAAAGTAATTACTTGTGATTCTTCATAGCCTCTCACAATCCCCTGACATGCCTCTGGACTTCTTCCTTTGGAGATATGTGAAGGACAGAGTTTATGCTGTCATTAAAATTAATGATCTTAATTAACTTTGTGTGTACATACAAGACACTATTGCTTCTATGTGGTACAGATATTGTGGAACACATGGTGGGAAATGTAACATTGTTTAGATATTCTTTACAAAACAGGAAGAGCATGTGGAGATTTTATAATTTTTTGTTATAAGGAGTAAAGGTAGAACTGATTTTGCAATAAAACTTGGTGAGTTTTTTTTAAATTGCCCACCTTATCTTTATTTTAGTCCTTGCTGAATTTTACTTACAGCTTTCAAAATGTGTCTGTCAATCCTGACATTTTGTATATTTCATTATGTTACTTCTATCTATACTGAAGTAATTATCATTCCTAATTTAGTTTTCATATTGTTTTAACCATTTTTTATTATTTATTTTGATGCTCTTTTGTATTTTAAAATTTTTGATATCTTGATATATTAGTATAAACCTTGTCTATGTAAATGAATTACCAGTCTAATTGTACTCCATTTTCATGTACAGCTTATTTTTCAGGTATAAATTGAGCTTTTACTTTTTAACCAAATTTATATAATATAAAAATAAAAGTTAGTTATTAAATAAAATTTAATATTATTTATTCAAAATTTTATTTATTATTAATATTTATCACTAATGTGAACTTTTTTAAAAATTCTTTGTCGTATAAATCAGTACATTTAAAATATGACAATACATTTGAGGAAGTTCCTATTGCTTGCCTTATGTTTCACATGTTTCAAATGATTTTTAATGTTTGATTGCCCACCATGAGTTACTGAAAATTCTGAAAAGCACAGTTCATATTTCACTTCGTCAATACGATCACAGACTTTTTNAAATTTATAAGTATCAATAAGTTATATGTTTATTATTATTTTAATTTCATATTTATTTGGTCAATATTATATATTACTTTGGTTATAAATTTTTAAAATTTTCTTTGATTAAATTTTATTACAGCAGTCATTCTGACAAAATAATTTTAAATCAATATAATGATTGAAAATATTAAATTTAGCTCATCTTGATGGTATCAATTTGTGATTATCCCTCTTTATCTTATCAAAATAAGATAAATATATGCTTCATAGGTATTTTGATGCTTCTTTTAGCAGCAAGATATATATCAATTCTCTCTTTTTATGAGAAATTTTCCATTTCAATAATGATATAAAGAATTCATACTGTATTTTCATGGAATGGGGAGACCAAGAAATCAGATATTTCCATATGGTAAAAACTAAAAAAATGCTGGTTTAAGTAAGTATATACATCCCTCTCTAGAGGGTGCATTAAAAATAAAATCAATGAGCTATGTCACTAAAAAACAAATGAGTTATTATTCTAAAACTGAAACTTGTCATTATATCAAAAACTATGATTATATGTTTAATTTCTTCTTTCTATTTTGTCTTCTTTCTAACAACGTAAAATACTTGTGGAATTTTGAAAGTGCATTTTTATTGTTATTTGATTCAAAAACGCAAAAATAAACACATTAAATTTAAGAAACTCACTGTAAATTATCTCAGCTTACACCTGTTAACAATGGCTTTGTGTGAAACCTGAGAGGAAGGTGTTATTTTTAAAGTCAGGGTAGATGGTCAGGGTAATCCACACTGACTAACTATTACTATTACTACTATTAATGTCAATAAGTCATTAATTATTTTATTGTCTTGTAAACAAAAACTCTCTTTCTGATTTTAAGTCAGTCAAATTACAATGTTATTATTTTATTGTATTCAGAAGAATGTTATCTTTAACATCTAATTAACAACTAGTTTTGTTATATCTGATAGTTGCAGTTTAATCAGTATGCTGGCAACTCAGGTATCCAGCATGTTAGTCATTCTGCAAAAATACAGTATTCTGTATATCATTATTGTGCATCTAATCATATATATTTATATATCATACAGACTGAATTATGTGGCGTTTTACTATTTATTTTGAGTGTATGATCTTTTATCTAACTTAGTAACAAATTTATCATTCTTATAGATGAGGAAAACTAATATTCCTGAAACCTTTATTTGAGTAGTGTCAACATCTTGGCAAAATTTTGTGCTGTTGTTGATTGAGATTAAAATCCAATGTTTCACATATATAAAAATTAATAAATATAACAATAACTATTATTTTTATTGAATACTAAATATTATTTTTTCAATTTATGCTTTATTATGATATGAATAAATAGGTCACATTTTATCAAATATCTCAAATAATTCATTAATGTAGTAATTTAATGACAATTCTCTTTTATTAATTATAAATATTTTATATTTAGATGTTCATTCTTGGATTATATGTGATGGTGATATAGATCCAGAATGGATAGAATCATTGAATTCAGTACTTGATGATAACCATTTATTAACATTGCCATCAGGTGAAAGAATACAATTTGGTCAAAATGTTAATTTTCTGTTTGAAACAGATGATTTAAATAATGCCTCACCTGCTACTATTTCAAGAATGGGAATTATCTTCTTAAGGTAAATTTTTAATTTATTTGTCTTATATATACTGTATTTACTTGTGTAATACAATCTCACATATAGGACAAGGCGTGACTTTAAAGATCAAAATAAAGAAAATTCGATTTATTAATACAATTTTAATTTTATTTCATTTAATCACCAATAAAATATCAAATGCATGTAAATGCACACATTGTCCTGCAAAAATTACTGGCATTTTAAACTTTAAGAAAAAATCTTGTAAAATCAATAACATAATTTGTTCATGGACAATCAGAATCTTTTTCGCCAATTCTTAACAGTCGAATCCACTCTCCATCGATTATACTTATGTGTTTCGCCAAATTCTGATTTCTGAAATCATCTGTTTTCACCTGGGAATGGATTAAAACTTATATTTGGCTACCATGCGATTTTGGAATTTCAATTTAAAATTCAATAATTCAAAAGCTTTCGTTTTTCCTATTGCTATTCATAAAGTAAAATAAAATACTTTTGTTTTTAAACTCTAGAGGGTGAGCATTTGTTAAAAAATATGAATATACGGTTCACAAAAATTATTTGCAAAAACACAAAGAATCCTTCGTTTCCACAAATAAGACGACCTAGGTTTTTGAAGCAGTGAAAAATGAATAAAAACCTCATCTTATATGCAAGTAAATATGGTATATGTAATCTACAGTATGCAGTAAACTTAAAGTTTACTAAATACTATAAATAGGCTTACCATAATATTTTTTTTCTCAAACCAGGACAATTTTGAGAAAATATTTGCAACAGAAAATTAGCCTACTCAGATAAGTACAGTACCTATGATTGAAAAGGCTAAATAAAGTAGTAGTTAACAAAAACAACGAGTTAAAAGCAATTTTTAATAACTGAAATAAACATATCTTATTATTAATATTTATCACTAATGTGAACTTTTTAAAAAATTCTTTCTTGTTTAAATCGGTACATTTAAAATATGACAGTACATTTGAGGAAGTTCCTATTGCTTGCCTTATGTTTCACACATTTCAAGTGATTTTTAATGTTTGAATGCCCACTAT